GACCTTTTGGCTCGACTGGACTGGATCAAATCAATGGTGAGAAGTTTGGTGGAGCAAATCGACCCCAAAAATATTTTCAAGTCTTCAATCCACTCGGCCGGATCAGATCGACGGCCAAGGACTTCAGAGGACCGAATAATGCATCCCCGAGATTTCCTTCAAATCTTCTCTAGCTCGCTCCAATATTATTTGATTAATTGTTTAATTTTATTTTTAAAATATTTTTTTATTTTTCTCAAAAATTCGGCAGCCTTTCGGTACCACCTCCCCGCGAGGGGAGGTTGGGGAGGACACTTGCCCTTTTGGCTCAACTCGACCAAATCAAATCAACGGCAAGGAGTTTGGGGGAGCGAACCAACCCCATCAATGTCTTCAAGCCTTCAATCCACTCGGCCGGATTAGATCAATGACCAAGGGCTTCGGGGGACTGAATCAACCCCGTGACTTCCTTCAAAATTCTCCTACCTTGGTACCAATTTGAAAATCTCTTATATCTCTCTTTTTTTATAGTTTATATATTCACATAAATGTTTCTAAATACACTAAAGTTTTATTTAGGATGACTTTCTTACTGCTTCTTAAATCAATTTTTAGTACAAAAATTTAAGAGTACTACTTTTTTTCCACATTTTAAGATATTTTTTACTAAAAAGTAAAAAATAGTTTTACAAAATCAGTTAAAAAGCCTGCCCAAATGAAACCTAAATGATTAAAAAATCAACTAATCATCCACTAATTTGATCCTTTTTATAATACTTGTTGCTATCATTTTGAAACTTTCATATAATTTATAATATAGGGTGGACTGTGTAAATGGAATAATAAAATAACAAGCAACGTGTATATGTATATATAATTTATTTATATATGATTATAACCTTTTACTTAACCACATTTTTAATGGAAGTTATCAATTCCAAAAATAAAAAATGATTAATCTAAAACCATTATAAACTTATAAACATCATTCTCATGAGAGTTGAAAATAAATTAAATTAAAATTTAAAATAAATCCAATGGAAATGAATCAAGATTATATTTAATAGGATGATATAGTAATTAATTATTCTAACTATTTCAACTATTATTTAAGTGAATTATTATCTTTTCATGATATTTACTTTTTTTTAATATAACAAAGATGAAATTATGCAATTTTTCCTTACAAATGGCACATTTATAAAACTAATTATTATTAATTTATGCCTATTTATTAAAAATAAATTTGAGAATTTCATGGGTTGAATTTCTAAAAAAAAAAAAAAAAAAATCCAATCAAAAGCTTGTGCTGTAATATAAAAGTTATCATCACACGGGCTTCCAATCCTTTTTTAAAAAAAATTTAATACGATATTTTAATTTCTAAAATAAGATTGAGTCCCTGTCTTGGATTTGATCGTAAGTTTGAATCGATCTGTAAATTATTGTTTGTTGATATTTAGTATTTCTGCATTGCAAGATGGCACCGAAATAAAGCAATCTGCTTGTATTTCTAATATTTTATGAATTTTTTATTATTTGGTGGTAGAACGTTCAAAAAATTAAGTTTACTGGTTCTTTTTTATTTTTTTGTTTGGATGATAATTTAATAAAGAAGTTTTATTTCGCTTGGGTGGTAATTTTTTATTCTCTTATTAATAAATAAAATACATTTTTTAATTTGTATTTGAAAGATCTGCAGTAGAATTACGATGATTGAAAATTGCACAAATAAATAAATAAATAAATAAATATATATATTCAAATTCAATCTTCTAGTTTAGATATTAAAAAATAGTTGTGATACGTCACCAAAAATTGCCTTGATACACAACTCTCCTTGGCCTATTGGTTGAGAGCTTAGGCTTTCAACTAAGAGGTTTAGGGTTCGAGTCTATGTGTATGCGTTGTGTGTATGAGTTTGCCTTAAATGGCCTAAATGTTCCAAAAAAAAAAAAAATTGCCTTGATTGGACACAAATCTCGTTGCAAATCTTTATTGAAAACTTTCATAATCAAATTTAGGATCATCCAATTTCAACAAGTTTATAGCCAAATTGAACATCTCAAGAAAACGAACCCAATGACATCAAATTCGGTCCAATTAGAGCCCAAATAGGCCCAAAACAAAGGATCAAAGCCTATTTAGAAGCTTCAGAACATTAATTGGAAGACCAAATGATATCCAAATATGACATGTTTATAGTCGAATCAAGGGGCTCAACGAGACAAATCCAACAAGCTTAAGATCACACAATTGCTCTGACATCTCGAGTGCATTTAAATGTTTGATAAACGTTCTATGATCAAGGGAACTAATACAAATCGTCAGATTAAACACTTCCAACAAGCTATTGATCTTTCTCTATATTTACAAGCCATGCCTCTCCCAATAAATTATAAATAAACCCTACATTCTTCACATGGGGAGGAAGGGAGGAGGAGGAAGAGAAGAAAAGCTATGAGGTCTGAAGAATCTTGGAGCTCCACTTCGGCATCACCGCCAACAAATTCGTGTCGCTAGGCCGCCGCTTCTGAACCTCTGGCCGACCATCGTCGTCAGGCCTCCATATAGAATCCATTAACGAGCCTCCCTATGACATTGTTGCCCATTTATTACGGTCATTTTGACCAACCTCGCCTGACTGTGGTCCTTCTAACTACTGTTGCTTACCGGCTACAGTCTCTCCGACCATCGTCGCCCAACTAAAGTTTCTTTTGACCTCTTTCACTTGTCGATTAAGGTCCCTCCGACTTATGTCACCCAAATACAATCCTACAAATTTAATGAGCATGCCAACACTTTCTTGAGGACAGCTCCATGACATTGGATTCTTTCAGTCACATAAATTGTTTTATATGATGTATATTTGTTACATTGAGCCCACATCTTCCCCCAAGGAAGGACATCATTTCTAATTAATTACAAATAATACTGGATTCATTCAAACTGGGTCAGACCGTATGATTTTTTTCTTTTCAGGGTTTTTATGTAAAAATCTTGGTGTCACTTATGCATGATGTACCCTACTATTTTATCTGTTGGTGTGTTGAATCTTCGTACAAACCTAGGACGCAAAACTTTATATCTCTCTATTGCTGCAATCATAACAAGTTGAATAATAACTAATTATTAATGAGAACTTAAACTTAGGGTTGTTTGATTTGATAAAACAAGAATGTAAGTGAAAGGAATATAATATTTGAAATATTTTAGAGTTATTTAATTGAGTGTAAAATAAATATAAGAGATTACTTTTTGTGTTTAATTTAGAAGTAAAATGAATTAAGTGTAAAACTTAGTGGTAGTAATTAGCATCTCTACAGGTGACGATGGTGGTGGGTAGATGACAGCGATAGTGTTGTTGACAACAAGCAATGGTCGACAACAAGTGGCGAGCAATGATTGACAGTGAGAGGCGATGGTTGGCGGCAAGCAACGGGTGGCAATGACGAATTGTGATTGGTTGAGGGGGTGGGGTGGTGGTTGGCGATGAAGGCTAGTAGTGACAAGGTTAGATGAAGCTTCAATCTTGTAGTGTATTTAGAAAGGGATCACATTTACTTGCATTTTAAATGCATTTAAAATGAACTAAATTGCAAGTTCCAAATACTTCATCCTTGCATTCTTTTTCATCTAAATCAAACAATTTATTTTTAAAGTGCATGCATTTAGAATACTTTACAGTCAAAATTTATCAAACCGAATAAACCATGCTTCAAAAAGAATGTCAAACATAATATGATAATTAAAGTTAAATAAATTATTCATTATTTTTTAAATTTAAACTAATATGTCATACAATAATTAGTCATCAAATATATTTAAATTCAAAATTAGTAGCATGTAATATGTGGCTATCATAGGTTGAGATACCCATGAACGCAAATTTATTTTCAACAATAAAAGAGATTTATACATATTTATGATAACTATATATGATTCTCTCATATATATGATACAATACTTCTCCAAAAACGTCAACTGTTGTTGTCTGATCACTGTTATTTGACTATTGTTGATCATTATCATCAACTCATTATTGTCTAATCATTATCATCTGATCATTGCAACTCATTTATTGTTATACATCATCAGTATCGATTATCTAACTACCATCATCTGATAGCTGTTCTCTGACTATTGTCATCACATTTTACTCCTATCATAGTATTCTCCATCATATTCATAAAATGTTAAGCTTATATTCCATAATTTGTTATTTCATCATCTTCATTGGAGGGAAAAGCATATTTTTGTAACCTCATTTACATATTGGATTATTTCAACTGTGAGCTTGACTATGTGATATTCTCTGTTTTTGAAATGTTTTACTTAAAATCTTTGATGCGGGATATTGGTGTAAATCTTTCAATTAAAACTCTCTCGCTCCTTTGATCGTCATGAATTTTCTAGCCCGCAATAGTGACAACCTATTAAGGATTTAGTGAATATAGCTTTCATTTAAGAGTTTCATTTTAAGGTAAGAAATGAGCCAGCATTTTCAGTATGTTAGATTATGGAAGTATAAAAAAATGATATACAAAAATAAGAAAAAAAATTGGAAAAAAAAAGTAAGATAAAAGAAGTATCCTAAAATATAGGTTTAACACCCGATAGGATAAACATTTTAAAAAAATTTAAATGAAAGGTATTAAAATTTTAGACTCTAAGGATAAATTTTGAAATAATGAATTTATTTTTATTCAGACAAAATTTGAATGAGCAAGCTTTGTGTAACTCATCCAAATTATCTTCCACGTTTTAATTATTATGCAGATCCTGAATAAAAACTGGAAACTCCAAATTTCATTTACCATGAAAATACCATCTGACTCTAAAAGTCTTTAAAAGCAAACATCAAAAATAAATTAAAATTGTATTCTTCGAGATGATTAAATCAGAGTCAATCCAAAATTTTTCTGGAAGGCTAACCTAAGTCCCACTAGTCAAAAAATGATATAAGTTTAAAAAGAGAAATGAGGTCCACACGCAGAGGAAACCCATTACTACTACAACGGTCCAATTTTTTGCCGAAAAATAGTTTCACCGTTTGCCGTTCCGTATCCGTTGTTCGATCCATTTAAAGCGAAAGCTTCGGCCTTTTTGCTTTTGTTTGATGTAAATCCAACCCGAACGAGGTCAAAGCTCTGTTTTTTTTCAAAGTCGATTTGGAGCGCGCGAAGAAAGTTTCGATATTTGAACACTTCGCAAGCAGCTATCTACGTTTAAAGTTGTGGTTGTAGGATCCCAAGCACTTTCCGTATTCTGAGGTAGTTTCTTTGCTTTTCTTTTTATTATGCTTAGGTTTCCAACTTTTTGATCGATTTGTTAGTTTTTGCATTCGATTTGGGGGTTTTGAGTATAGAGTGAAAGCTATCCGTTTATCGTCGGCCTGTCTTCTGAAACTGCTTTTTGATATGTATAGATGGGTTATGAGGTCCAGTGGCTTAAATAGTTTTTGTTACCGTTGTGTTTTTGCTGGCTTTGATGTTTCAAGATGGCTCTTTAGATTTTGTCGGCCACCGTAATTTAGGAAGCTCTCTTTCTTTGGGGCTTAAATCCATCCTCTTGTGAAATTTGTGAAGTTCTTGCTACTTCTTGCTTCCGAATCCCTAATTTTAATAATAGGCAGCATCAAATCTTGTTACGTAATATGTAAGTAACTTTTTCTCAGGGCTATTCAAGATATCTGATTGTTGAAGTTGCTTTGACTTTATATCACTCATGGAGTAGTAAATAGGGGAAATCAAGTGAGAAGCTTAATTCTTTTAATATACGAATTCTTTTTTATCGGATTTCCGCTCATGAGAAATTAAATCTTTCTTATCGAGAAGAATTTCCTGTCATTTCATTTCCTTAATTCATTAGAAAGTATATGCATTCTTTCTAATTCTTTCTTTGTCTCCCAATTTTTAACCACCAATCATAGAATCGTGCCTTTTGCTGTTCTTTGAGACATAGCAGTTTGTGATTGTTGTTAGAGATCAACAGACTTCATCTTAATTAGATCTATTACACCTTCAGGAGATTGCCCTCTTTTTTATTCTATTACTTATGTCATTGTTGCATTTTCGTCCTTGTTACTCATTTGTGGATAAGGTTCCAGCCAAAATTTGGACTTTATTGTGTTGTTCTTATCATTATAATAAGCGGTTTACCGCTTCTCAGTTAGCCATTTGCAATTAGTTTTCCCCTTTCTTTGGAAAGTTTCTTCATGTTATATTAATTTTTTTTTATGCCAACTTCCTCAAGCATTTATTTTATTATAGGCTTTAACTTATTTATCATGATTAAGCTATCAAAAATCTTGCGCTTATTAGTTAATCTATCTTTTTATGGAGAAATCATTTCGTGAGGAATACGGATGGTAAAGAATAGTCTGGATGTGAGTATACAGTGTGTACTATAATTTTATACGCAGTTTGATTTTTTTTATGCATAGTATGTATAAATACTGTGTAAACTCATATGCGGACGGTTCTTTACCATCCGGACTCCGCACGAAATAATTTCTCCTTCTTATGAGTCTGTTTCTGTATGAGTTCTCCTATTCTCTGTTCACTCTCTTACACTGACTGTGCTTTTTGTTTTTATAGACAGGTACCATTGTTGTACCTGTTGTCATTTTTTGATCTCTCTGTCATTCTGTGGCCACCAGTATGTCTAAAATTAGTTCATCGAAGACACCGAACGCCAAGTTTTACAAGCTTCCCGGATCTGTTTTCTTTCGAACCTACTCTTTTGATCCAGATATTAAACAAAATCGTAGATCTACAAGGGCTTCTACTGCTCCCTCAATTAAAAAATCACGTAATAATGGTTATGAAAAAAAGGGTACTTCTTTTCCTCCATATTCAACATTTGCAGATGGGAACAGTAAATACACGAATGACTTAAGAGAATTCAGTGATTTTAAGAACCAGTCAGTGCAGGAGCTAGAAAAGTACTGTATAAACCGGGCAGAAGAGACTACACAGAGAATTAATGGTTGTGTGAAGGTTGCTGAAGAAATAAGAGAAGTTTCCTTAAGGACACTTGGGAATATTCATCAACAGGGTGAACAGATTACAACAACCCATGAAACGGCAGCAACCATTGACTATGAACTTAGTAGGGTATGTAACTTACTTTCTTTTTCTTACTGTGTTTTCAAGGCTTTTGAGTTGAGAAATATGAATTTGTTGTGTGTCTTTGAGTCAGATAAGATTTTTTTTTTTAAGTCAGATAAGATATATTTCAGCAGTCATATTGTGAAGTAAAAATGCAATCTGAAATGAATCAACTTGTTCATTTACATTCTTGTTGATTATGACATACTTATTTCAGGGTGAAAGGATCTTGGGAAGTCTTGGGGGACTCTTTTCTAGGACTTGGAAACCGAAGAAAGGCCGCGAAATAAAGGGACCTGTTCTCTCAAGAGGCAAATTCAGAGACGTTTCGCTCATGAAAAGGGGGAATAACATGGAAAAGAGACAAAAGCTTGAATTAAATTCTTTCAAGCCTCGATCAAATCCTCAATCATTCTTGTCTGAACCTTCATCTACCCTCGAAAGGGTCGAGGTATTTATAGTTCAAAATCCGAAGTTTATATGGTAAAGTGCTAGAGAATGGTAGTTCATTTATACTGATTACTCTTATTCGACAGATGGAGAAGATGAAACAAGATGATGCTCTTTCAGACTTGAGCAGCTTATTAGGTGAGCTGAAAGCCATGGCTATAGACCTGGGATCTGAAATTGAAAGGTTGGTTTGCCCTTCTTCCCGTTGAAGAGTTGTTTATCCTTACAATCAAATAATTAGCATAGTTTGATTCCCTTTCGAACTATAACGTCGTTTCATTTTATTTGAAATTATATATAAGGTTAATGATGATGATGATTGAATGAATTTAATATCTGTTCATTTTGGGTGATTGCAGGCAGAATAAGGCCTTGGATCACATGCAGGATGATGTGGAAGAACTAAACATGAGAGTAAGGGGTGCAAACCTTCGTGCTCGTCGTCTGATAGGAAGATAAAAAGCAAGTCCTTTGCCAAATTTGTATTATTCATTCATTACTTCATTGTCAGCAGAATTTTTTTGTTTTTTGTTTTTTTTCAAAATTGGGTCATAATGATGAACATCATCTTTTTTGGCAACTTATTATTTTATTAACTTTCCCAACCCTTACATTGGGTCATTGTAATGAATTTTGTCTTGTGCATATATACCCTCTTCCAATTGAAGTTTTGATCTTTGTAATGAATTTTTGTTTGTGTATGTATCCTAATAGTCATTATTATTTTTTTGTTGCTTTTTAGAAATTTTTTGAACTAAAAAACTATTGTAGAAAGCAGTAAAAAAACTATTCTAAACAAAGCCTTAATCTCAACTCGTGAGATAAACCTCAAGAGTTTGAGACTTAGAGTTGTAAAACAGTTTTGTATTAAGAGGAATACATGTATGTCCTATTACTTTGTTTTGTGTACATGTATGTCCTTTTTAATAGAGAATTTAATCAGCTTGCTTTTGTCATCTATATCTATATAGATTTTGATATCTTTTTATAATGCTTGAAGTTTTCATTTTTGCTTTTGCATTTATAATATTCTCTTCTACTAGATGTTTTTTATATAGAAAGTTAAAGATATTTTTTCTTAACACTAGCCACATAGCATTATCACCATCCTCCTAATGATCATGATATAGGCACAATTTAAGTCAGTTTCTCATAGACTATCCAACTGGTCTCTAGCAAAGACCAAGTTGTTACGGCAAGTGAGCTAAGGTTAGCCTTCACAACTACCTTTGAAGAGTCGGTTAGTAGTTGGCCAATCCAGTGAATTGTGGAAACTTGTTTATCCTTGGTGATTGAGAAAAAGGAACATTTAGAGGGGTTGTGGAGAAAGAATAGAGGAATTACTATGATTGAGTTACTCTACGAGGAGCCACAAAATAAATTAGATAAAAGAAAGTAGAGATTTATAGCGATTTGATCCATAGAAATAAGTCCACTATAAGAACGAGAGAGACAGAGAAAATATCCACTATGGCAATAAATATATGATATGGTAGCATCCAGGACGAGGATCAGGGAGGTGCTGGACTGGCCAATTCACCTGGGAGGGGCGGACTAGGGTAGGGTGGACCGGACGGGGTATTTCGGTCCCTCTTGTGAGGCTAATTTAGAGGCTGATTTGGAAGGGCTTAATTAGGAGATGTTTCCTAATTGAAAAGAATAAATTTAGTGATTAATTTAGAGTGGATTAATTATTATATATTTTCTAATTAAAGAATGTAGATTTGGGAACTAATTTGGGAGTTGATTTGGAGGGGATTAATTATGAAATATTTCATAATTAAAGAGGAAAGATTTGGGAGCTGATTTGGAGTGGATTAATCAAGATATATTTTCAAATTAAAGATAGAAAATTTGGGGGCGAATTTAGGGGCAGATTTTGGAGAGAAATAATTAAGGAAATAGGGCATATTCGGGGGCTTATTTAGGAGGGAAGAAGGAGAGCTTATTCAAGGATAAGTTTCAGGTTTATTTACGGGATGCAGATTTTTTAGAGTTATTACAATTTTCTTTTTGTGAAGCTTCCTAGCGACCCTAGGTTGTTTGGGAGAGCCGATCAACCTCTCAAATTGTAGATCACATGTATCTTGCTTTTCTATTGAGTTGCAATCCAAAAATTAGTCATAATCCCTCAATTTCTTGCAGTTTTTTGTTGTTTACCTACCATTTTATGTTGTTTTCTTGCTCGTTTTACTCCACGATGTATCAAATTGGTATTATTGTGCTGTCCTAGGTTGAAATCTAAGACCCTATAGCTGATTTCTAATGTATTTTTATTCACACTTTGTTGATTTTTGTTGTTTGCATACCAAAATTGTCAATTTTTGCTATTTTTCACGGTTTAGAACCTAATTCCTTGAATGACAACATAGAAGATGAATGCGTTAGAAGACAAGGTGGAAAAATTGAGGGTCGGGATGGAAAAAAAATATTCTAGAATGAAGGAGATTTTCTGGAGTGGAAGGGAAGATCATAATAGTGGAAAGAAGACATCCATGAAAAATCAATTTGAGAATATTGAAGTCATGATGAAGAAAATGATCGAGATGAAGTAGAAAGATTCACCGATGATTCATAGGGTTGAACCAAAGAGAAAGGAAATTCTTGAGGAGATGATGAGAAAGCTCATAGAGACGTGATCCAAAACCCCACTGACAATTTTAATTGCTAACCCTAACCAAGATTTGACAGAGATTATCTTGGCCGAATCTAAGGGAAAGGAGATCGGATGGGAAGAGTTCAATGAAGAGAGCCCCTTTCATCAAGAGCCACCTCCTATGACTTTAATAAGGGGGAAATAAGATTTTTGGATGGGGGAAAATAGAAAGGGAGTTTTATGATGAAGGTAATAGGGTGACCGACCACCATGTGAGGTTTTTTGGGTAAGGGGAGTAGATGATGGGAGGAGGGAGATGACCCGAGCCATGGGGATTGGGTCATGGGAGGCGGATGGTGGAAAGGTGGGATTTCCACCCTTGAGACACGGGGGGAACCATGGTCGGGAGAGGAAATTGGGGCGTAGATGCTTGGGTTAGGAAACTGAAGATGCCAAAATTCAAAGGGGAGGATGCCCATGGGTGGATATACTTGGTGGAGCTGCACAACTTGGAGGAGGTTTGAAATTCTGAGTTGATTAGGTGGCCCCCCTTTCGAAACAAGGTGTTTCTTAATATTTTCTCATCCTCGCACCTTGAGCATAAGGTGCATTTCGAGAAGGGGAGTATTGATACGATAGCATCTAGGATGGGGACCAGGGACGGACTAGACCGTTTGGTCTACCAAGGAGGGGCTGACTAGGGCAGGGTGAACCAGGAAGAATATGGGGGGAATATTTCGGTCACCTTTGTGGGGCTGATTTGGAGGAGATTAATTTGGAGATATTTCCTAATTGAAGATGGTAGATTTGTGGCATAATTTGGAGGGGATTAATTATGAGATATTTCCTATTTAAAGAGTACATATTTGGGAGTTGATTTGAGGGTTGATTTGGAGGGGATTAATGAGGAGATGCTTCATAATTATAAAGGACAGATTTGGGGGTTGATTTGGAGAGGATTAATTATGAGATTTTCCTAATTAAAGATGGTTGATTTTGAGGATGATTTGTGAGGGAAATAATTAAGGAACTAGGGTAGATTTGGGGGCTGCTTTAGGAGGGAAGAAGGAGAGCTTATTAAGTTTAGGATTTATTTGGGGGATACAGTTTTTTTTTAGTTACTAAAGTTTTTTTTTTTGTGAGGGCTTCCTAGTGACGTCTATGTTATTTGGGAGAACCGATCTACCTCTCAAATTGTAGATCACCTATATCTTTCTTTTCTAATGAGTTGTAATCCAAAAATCAGCTATAATCCCTTAATTTCTTGCAGTTTTTTGATGTTTACATACTATTTTTTGTTGTTTTTCTTGCTGGTTATACTCTACGGTGTATCAATATTGTATAACTAAGAGATCTTCTAACATTAGGAGTAAGTGTCTAGAGAAGGCGAGAAAAGAAGGTAAAATTGTAATAAATATATATTAAAATTGGTAAGAAAAGTATGACTTTTTTATTATTATAAAATATGGGGAGAGAAAAATAAACAGAAGGCATGATTCGAGTTTTTTTTTCTAGTAGATGAGATGGAGATACATTTGTATATCTTTGAAAATAACCTTTTTGAATGAAGCCACCAATCTCAAAGGTTAAAATGAATGTGTGTGGCAAAAGGTGGAGAATAATTCTTGGAGAACACTTTCTATGCAACGATTGTTTTTGGAGATTTTTGAGAGTTTCATGATCAATAACCTTTGATGGTGAGTAAATTTTTGAATGAAGTCACCAACCTCGATGAAGATTTTATAGCCAAAGTTAGTGTTTTAATTCATAGGCAGATAATGATGATGAGCTAACAATCTACAATAATGATGACGAGTATGCGATGTTAGTGCATTGATAAAGTAAGGTTAATTTAGTGTCATTGTAACGTACAACGGGTTGGAGATTTGAGATTTTGTATAGAGGGGTGAGAATTCAATGCAAGAATATTGAATGACTAGTAATAGGTTCAATGTTATTTTGGGCATCGATGTGCTATGCTGAATGCAATTTTGTAATTCGCTAGATACACCTGGCATTGCAATATATCGTCATAAATACTGGTTTGGAATTTTTCATGAGGCATGTTGAGGAAGGTTCAAGGCTTCAAGAGAGTACATCTAGGTGAAAAAAAAAAAAGAATGTTAATTGAAGGGTTTAAATGGTTCTCAAGATATGCTGAGAGGGTCTGTGATGATCTCCAAAAAGATCTACTAATCGATAGAAGTTGTCGAGAGGGCTGCCTCTAAGATAGATTTTTTTTAGAGTGTCTCCATGGATATGCCACTCAAATAGCTTTCCTTAAAATATTTGAAATTTCTTGTCAAAATTATGCGTTCAAATTCTTCCAAAATTAAGAACTTCTCACCTTTCAAGTTGGGGAAGAAATAGAAGGTGAACCATACTTGCTGGGCCGAATTTAAGCAGGCCTTTGAAGTTTATGTGGGCTCTAAAAGTTGTAGTTGGATTGTTAGTTAACATTAGGTAGTCCATACTATGGTTTCATGGCTTTAGAAACCTGGGTTTAAAACTCCTTATTTATTTATTTATTAATAGAAATTTATATTATGATACTGTTCTTATTGTATGAATTTAAAGGTGGCATCTATGAAAATGCAAGTCTTTTTTTAATCAATGAATGATGATTTTTTTTAATTGGACTGATAATTTAGTTAATAAATAAATAAATAAATAATTTGACTCTAATCTATTAAAATTATTTTTAAATTTTTATTGGTCTTTTTTTAATTTTTGACAAAGAAAAGATGCTTAAATATTGGTCTTTTTTTAATTTTTGACAATGATGTTTTTTGTAGTAATAACAGCTCATTGAATGATCGGGCTTCTTGGTGGGGCCTATAATTAACTCGGAAAAAGAGTTAATTTGACTATAATCAAACATAATAGATATTTTTAATTTATGGTGATTTAGGGGACAATGGTAACAATATTTTATAAAATTAATTGTGAAGTTATTGTGAGAAAAAATTACTTAATTATTGTGGTTGTCAAAAGTAGTTTTTTATCAAATTTTTTTTAAAAAATAGGGACAAAATAAAAAGAAAATAGTAGCAAAATAAAATTATGACTGCTGTTT